GGGCAAACATTATCCAGTGTTACGACTACTGTACCGCTCCCTCCTTACTTAAGACTTAATGAAGGCGCCAAAGAATCGCTTCTGGAGAGAAAACCTGACTGGAGGCAAATTCCGTCATGACTCATCTTGTGCTGGATAACACGAGTGTTCATTCTGAGGATAAACCCCACCGTTAGGATGAACGAGGTGATGCCTTCGGAAGAAATACAAGCTTTGCAGAGCAAGAGAATTCAGAACAGACAAAAAACAGAAACAAACAAACAAAAAAACTATGACTGTAATCAACGGGAAAACCTTCAGAATACAGTCACCACTTCCTCAGCATCGAAGGACTCACACTTGAGGGAAGCTCTACAGATGTGTGACAACTTTCTCAAAGAACCAAACTTTCATGATCGAGAAATCATTCTGGGGAAACCTATCTAAATAAGAAATGTGGGAAAACTTTAACGGGAGCTGAACTTTGACCAAATACCAGAAAATTCACACTAGAAATTAATGAATATTCAGGATCCTTAAGCTAAACTTCTGCCTATACTAACCACTGAAGATTTCATACTAGGAAAGAAATCTGAAAATGTTCAGAATTTCAGGCGGGGGGGAAAAAACTCCTATTTCCACAGAAAGAATGTTACTGTATAAAAGTCACTTTCTTGGACTAGGTAACAGATTTTTTGCAGAAATGACTCCAAACGTGAGAAATGATGGGAGATGGTATGCCGGGAGGCCTACAGTATAAAGCTTTGGAATGGTCACTTTTCAAACTCAAATGTCAAACAGGTATTATGCGAGGCGCTAGAAATACACCAGTGAATAGAGCAGACAAAAGTTTCGGCCTTTGTGGAATTCACATTCTAGTGAAAGGATAACAGAATCCCAATCTAGAAGAGCCTCATGATCACTCACCAATCCATGTCACCTCAAGATCCCCACAGATTTGATCAAAATATTTACAGAGTATTTACTACTGATTGAGAACTACACTTAACTGCAGCCCCTACTCTGAAGTTATCACTAAAAATTAGCCTACTTTCAGAAACTTCTCGAAGACCTAGAAGGTATTCTAAAGATCAAATAGTCCAAAAATCCCTTATTTCACAGATTTAATAATAAAAAGAAAAGGCCAAAGATATGAAATTGATTCTATTAGCGGCACATTCTATAAATGACAAAGCCGAAATAAAAATGCAAGTCTTCTGGCTTCTTGCTTTTATGTTTTGCCACTAAAAATATCGTTTGGAATTCAAAGGGCTTCAAAATAAATTTTAAAATAAGTGAAATTAAGTAATTAAGATTTTTTGAGCACCCATAGAGTTGTGAATGTCAGACACTGAATAAGAAAAGAAAAAAATAAGGGGCAGTAAAATACAGGGCAATTTGCCCCACCAAACTGGTTTAAACTACAGAAGAAAAAAAAAGAGAGACAGTGAGCAATCTGTAGAAGTAAGAACTGTAAGGCCGTATCAACAGTGGTTGAGCGGAGGTGATGGAACTACTAACTTTTTTCCTTCTTTGTAATCACTATAATTAGGGTTTCGGCAACCATACTGAGCTTCCTCCCCATCACTAAGACACGGCTATTTATTAGGAGGAGAAGAGAATAGTAAAATTTGGCAGTGCTGCTGGGGCCAGTGGGCAAATGAAGATTCTTAGAACTTCTGTAGCACCAGCTACGGAAACAGCAGGGCAATGTGTTCAGATGGAGATAGATCCATCAGCACATATACAAATCACTGAGCTGTCACAGGCCCAACAACCATGCACAGACACTGAGAGAGGCTCATATTTCTGGAGACAATGATTGCAGCCCTGTAAAAACACTGCGCTCTCTTAATAAATATCCTTCAGGTTGACAGGGAGCGAAAAGGAGGAAAAGTTACTTAGGAGGTAAAATCAATTGGAGATATTGGAGAACAGGAAAAGAGGATGCAGGGAGAAGGGAAAAGAATGAATCCTAGGTTTCTGGTATTAAAAATGGATATAGTGCAAATCACTCAGACAGAGAACCTTAAACAATAAAAGTGAAGCAAACTTTTCGCTATATTATTACATTCCTTCTAAGTACTTTTTAAAATTACCGATGAACTGTCCTTTAACATTAAATTATTTTCATTGGTAAACATGTTTTTCCATTCTTCTCTATCATAAAACAAAAAACAAAGAAGCCAAGTATCAAAATCTGTTCTTTTATCTTCTTGCCATCTGAGGTGATTTCAAGTGTGATATAGGGTTGGAGAGAAACCCGGCTTAGTAATACGTTGAATTTGGATCTGCTCTTAAAGATTGTTTGGTCAGTATTCTATCAATAAGGATGGTCTCTATAAGATAAAAAATAATTTTTGATACCTCGAAGACAATGCAGATAGTGAAATAAAAGGTTTGGGATTGTTTCCCCCTGAGCGATTCTGAAGTACAGAGTGGAACAGACACTGCAGATACGTGGCTTCGTTCTGAGAAAAGAACTGCACTTCTCAGAGTCACCTTTTCTTCCTGTGAGTCAAGAACAGTTCACGGAGAACATGAACTAGATTCTACTTGACGCAAAAGACTCAGGAATACAGAATCTCACAAACTGGTAGGAATTACAGGGTCTAACTTAGGGAACTGAATTAGCAATAGGAGATATTATATATTAATATCTTATAAGTTCCAGGTACTCGAAAATTGCTGCCAATATAGAAAACTGAGTGAGACTTGTGTGGTTCAATCACCAGCCTGCCAATAAAATCACTAAACCACACAGTTGGATTCAGAATCTATATTCTTCAAAGTTCAAATTTAGCGCATATTTTGTTTCAGAAAATGTGAATAAATCACCATGTGAATAAGTTACATACAGTTACATACACATAACAATGAGCTTTCGTTTAAATAGTTTTAGTGTAACTTAACCAAAGATCTTACAGTTTCATAAAGTATATATCTTTTTAAAGTTTTTTTTTTTTATTAGAGAGAGACTTGAACACTGGTATAATGGACAAACATGAAGATAAATTTACTCAATTCAGTGATAACCACTATCTTTTCACAGTATCTGAGGTTAAATTTTGATTTAATAAAAAGAACTCCTTCATTTTTTAAAGAATTCCTCCATTCTTTAGTGAAATTAATATTCTAACTACACAATGAGGCAGACACCATTTTACACCAATGAGGCTCATTTATTAGAGCAGCTGACATCATGGCTTAAGTGATCTTTTGTTAAACTTATCAATAGCAAAAGTATGACATAATGAGCAACCAAATATCCGTACGAACATTTTGGAAAACAATTTCAAGATGTTCACGCTCTACCTAACTCAGTAACTAATGCCCTAGAGTGTATAAGGCAACGTGGACGCTGGCCAACAGTGCTGAGCTTCTTATGTAAAGGAGACAAAAAAACGGGATGCCATTTACATAAAAAATTTAAAACCTACAGTAGTGTATATTGCTAAGGGATATATATATACTTGTAGAAGAACTATACTAAGTGCACGGGAATGATACAGATCAATACTGGAAGTGGCTGCCTCCGAGGGATAAGGGAAAAGAGGAGGTCAGTGTGGGAGACTCCAAGCCCTACTGGTTAAGCAGGTACGTACGCAGGGGCTCATCTTACTGGTCTTTATGCCTTATTGTATGTTTTAAGCATTTCATGATAAATTAGAAAACATTTTTCTACCATATGACCAAGTCCTGTTTACGCTGCCAGATGTAATACCATCTTGATGACTGTATGAATACAGGTTTTCGAGGTCTCACATCACTCAGCCTGCAGTCTGCCTCTCGCCTTCTGCTGTACGCTCACCTACTGGCCTTCGCCCTGGGTTTCACGACTCACCCCAGCAATCCTGTCCCTCACGTAAGCATAATCAATGGCTTACAGTGGGCAGATGCATAATACATGTTAGTCTCCTTTAAAAAAATGCCTTCCTAATTCTCTCTCTTCTCTCTAAAATGTCAACACACCAACACATTACTAAGTCATAAAATAAAAAAGCATTGGAGCTAAAGCAGGGCCATTACAGACTTACATATACTGAAAGAAATACACTGTATTTTGATCCCCAAAAAACCAAAAAAGTATCTCATGGTACTGAATACCTGTGCTGTCCCCCCTGCGGGCGCCCTCTCCCCCAGACCCGCGTGGCTTGCTCTCCCAGCTCCTCCAGGCCTGTATCAGCGGTCACCTTCTCAGTGACGGCTCTCGCAGTGTCCTGACATCCCAGCTCCCACTGTCCTCATCCCTGTCCTCTTCTGCATGCTTCATGTTTTTCCTGACACGCGAGCTCACCTCACTCACTCCTAAGATCCATGGGGCAGGGATTTTAGTCTGTTCGCTGCTGTAACTACAGCGACTAAACCAGGGCCTGCTATAGAATAACGTAGTGAATACTTGTTGAATCACAACACATAAATGCAAATTGCAACCATCAAGTCCGGTGGAGAAGTAGAGTGCGGGGAGAGCCTACAGGAAGACAGGAAAAGCTAATCTGAGAAAGCCAGTCTTGATCATAGAAACGAAAGATGAGTAGGAGTTAACTAGGACGTGCGCAGGGTCAGAGGTGAGAGGAGCTGAAAGGCCAGTGTGGCCAGACCGCAAAGAGGTGGAAACGGGTGTGATGCAGCTGGAGCAGGTAGGAGGAGGCAAAACTTTCAAGAGATTTGTAGACCATCTTAGGATAATGTTCTTTATCCTCAGAGCAACAGGAAGCCACTGAAGTGTTTTAAGTAGAGAAATCATATGAGCAGACTTCCACAAGAAAAGATTACTGTGATGAAGCCAAATCAATCAAAATGATTCAAACGATCCCATCTATCCCATCTATGTATAGCTATGAATATCACATGAGTTTCTGAGGCCTGAATGACACAGAGACAAGTTACATCAAGAGCTTTAAACATTTAAAATTTAAGAAGTATAATTAGATCATTCTAAAACTTCTTAATTTGAGACGAGATATTATAATTGCCTATTTTGTATACTTAAAATAAAAGGAAAGTTCTTAACTACTCACATCTGGTTGAATGGCTTTAAATACTGGAACGTCCATTAGTGTTATCTGACCCTGAAATCAAAAGTAAAAGAATGACAATTTCTTCTTTGGCATTTCATGATATGACATATATTCTAAATTAAAATTATATTCTATACTAAAATATACTGAATAATCAAATCTTTACCAGAAAAAAAGTCTCAATCTTATGAGGGCTTAAGGAAATGAAAATTTAGCCCTTGTACCATTAAACATAATTATTTCTAATTACTGCATGCCTATTCATAAGAAAAATGAGGTAAAGTTAGAAAACAAAAATAATTTTGAAAATTTGGCCATGGCCATACATTAAATCAAAATCAAAAACAAAAATCAGAGCAGTGTTGTTGTGACTATTGAATCATATCTCTTTAAATGGTAACATAAAATCTGATGTTAATAAAAGGGTTTTCTTTCTAATTTATATAAAGTAATAAGACTATACTAGTGGCAACTCACACTGAAGGACGTCACATGGCTGTGGACCTATCTCACTATGGCTACAGATATAAAACATAATCCAACACTATCCCAAAGAATAACATGCCATGACCAAACACAGTTTATTCCCGGATTGCAGGAGTGGGTCGATAACAGGAGAGCAAAACATTCTGTTAACAAGTTAAAGGAGAAAGAGAACATAAACGAACACTTGTGTCAGTTAAGAAATGAAAGTTTTTCTGTGTAACTTTCATGATATTGCAATAATGCCTTCAACTTTCATTTTTCAATTTTTTAATTTACAAAAACTAACATATCTCTAACATGTCAATAAAGTACAGCTGGCTTAGGAGCGGGTACAGGTAGGGACTACAAAAGCAATTACCGTAAGGGCAAATACTTCTTACTCACCAAGTGGAAAGTGTAACTTATGAAGCTGCTCTAAAAATATCTACGGCTCTTCTTAAATTCCCCATTTCATCCCTCTGTTTGCTCCATCACTGTGCTACTCTCCGTATTAAGTCCCACATCTGGCTCTATTATTTTTTTTCCCCCTTTTTCTTACCATCTCCTGTGCTGGGCCTATAAATTCTAACTCAACAGCACGTGTATATCAGGTGCAAAAACCGGGGCAAGGAGCGGCGGGAGGCTTACCGCATATTCTTCCGGCGTAACCTTCAGAACATCGAACACCACAGCATCGAAGCTTTTCTTCAATTCGGAACCCTTTTCGCTTAATGATTCGGAACTGCTACTTTTCTGTAACGGAAGAACATGTGGTCCTTTTAATACTATCTCACAGTCGATGTAACAGAAATTAGGTTGGCATTTAAAACTGAGGAAACTCAGAACAGTGGGTCGACAAACGTCGGAAAGCTGCTTAGCTGGAAGAGCGCTAGACAGAGTCAGCAACGTGAAATTCGACCTCGACTTTAGACTTCTAGGTTCTTGATTAAGTCATTTTCCTGCCTAGTTTTCCAATCCTGGCACCCTACCACTTCCTACAGAAGTAAGAGATTTTAACAAGTTCAGTGATTCTCAAATGGGGTAAAGAAAAGTTAGGAGAGAAGGATACATCTATTTATAATTTTTAAAACTAATTTTTACTAAGCAAAAGACAAATTATTTTCATAATATAAACCACCAGAAAACATTCAGAACTTCAGTCTTACTTAAGTGAATGTTGTCTGTGACAGTACAATTGATACTGTTCTTCCTACTGCAGATGTGTTTTCTGCTGTAAAGTTACTGTTTTAAGTTTGAATTTGCTGTTGCTGTATGTAGAACAAAAAGAGCCTCTGGGCTCTGATAATCTTATTTCTTTTCAATTTCCACTTCATCTGTACTACGAGATAAAAATGTTTTCTGCACCAGTTGGCTGAAATCAGAGCATCATCACCGTAAGAATATTTAGATCACACTCTACTAAGTGGTAGCAGGATATCAGGCTACATCTAACAACACAATAAATTAACCAAAGTTTCAATTACCAAGGTATAAGATCTATGTGAACCTATAAGCAGTTGTATATCAGTTTTGAGTACTTGTCATTATGCCTCATTTTTACTTTTCTCCTCCCTTTTGATAACAGCAAAATGTCAAAATTATTACAAAGAAAGGGATCTGTCATTAATTCTGGAAAATTCCCAACCATTATTACTTCAGATATTTCTTCTGCTCCTTTCTCTTTCTTCTCCTTTACTAGCCCCATATTGCATTTGTTACACCTTCGGTCACTGTTCCACAGTTCTTGGATATTCTGTTCCATTTTTTTTTCATTTCATTTTCTCTCTGCATTTCAGTTTGGGAAGTTCCTGTTGATATATCTTCAGGCTCATGATTCTTTCCTTGACTGTCTACTGGTCACCAGTTTACTGGTGAGCTGACCAAAGTCATTATTTTTGTCACAATGCTTCTGATTTCTAGCATTTCTTTTTGATTTCTTAAGTTTCTATATCCCTGCTTACACCATCCACCTGTTCTCGCACGTTGTCTATTTTTTCCATTAGATCCCTTAGTATTATTAATCATGGTTAATTCCTAGTCTGATAATTCCAATGTCTCTGCCATAATCTGAGTCTGGTTCTCTTCTTGCTTTGTCTCTTCAAACTATATATTTTTTTCCTATCTTTCAGCATGTGTTATAATTTGTTGAAAGCCAGACATAATATGTTGGGTAACAGGAACTGAGGGAAGTAGCTGATCTAGGTAGGAGCTACGCCATGTTTATGTTTGTTGTTGCTAAGGGTGTCTGAGTGTTCCATTTGCTCTGGTGTCTTTATTTCTGTCTTTTCTGTTGTCTTTGGGTTTCCCTAGAAACTCCTTCTTAGCTAGAGTCTGTGCCTCGCAGTTCTTTCGGCTGCAATCCTTTATTACTATACAGGAGCCCTGCTGATGTGGTATTGAGTGGGGAGAAGAGAAGCCTTCAGCCCTATGATCAGGTCTTCCGGTGAGCCTGTGCTCTTGGGCTGTGACCTTCCTAAGTGCTCTCGGTGCCCCTACATTACAGAAGACTGAACTTCTGTTTTGTGGGTGGAGTCTCCCCACGGTGAGAGAGACGGTGATGCTGCTAACAGAAGTCAGAGGAAGGGGCTGGACTATTTTCTTTACAGGTTGTACTGCTGAATAATAGTAAGTAACTTGATTTTATTGATACTGTAAGTAAAGCGTCTGGTCCATCAGAAATGCTTAATAAAATTTATAGAAGATGCCAGAGCTAGAGATAAAAATATGGAAATCATCTGCATATGAAAAATAATTGAAACTACAGACTCAAAATAATTTCGATTTTAGCAAGACCTAAGTAACTGGCTTGGGCAAAATGGGCTTGAAATCATTAAAGAAATTTGAGGCCAAGGTGTTAAAGGGCATTATTCTCATCCTATATTAATGAGAGAGAAATAAAGAAAAAATATAGAAGCTAGATGCTAAAGTAATTAAGGAAAGCAGGCAAGTAACCAAGATTTATGGACAAAACAAAATAGAAAAAAAAGGTAAGGCCAAAATAAAAGGATGACACGTTTATTGGAGAGATGACTACAGTCTTCGTCTCCATCTTTCACTCCCTCAGCTGCGTCCCGGAGTCGCCCTTCACGTTCCAGGCTCGTGGTCCTCTGATCACCTGCAGCAGGCCTGGAGTCAAGGGATCTAGACAGTGTCCAGAATTCCGTGATTCCCAATAAGAGACTCTTTCTCTGCCTCACCTGTACTATCGCCCTCGCGGTCCATGTAATGTAAAAACATCCGCAAAAGAAATTTTGTGTGTCCTTTAAAACTAAGCCCAAGAAAGGATTTTAAGTAATCATTATTTGTCAAGTATTTTAAGTGGATAAGGATTAACTGTTTTGAAGATGCAGTCAACATGCAAATGATGCAATTAAAAGAGTTTTTTAAGGAACTAAAGAATGTGTAGCTCTTTCTCTCACATTCTGATTTCAATGTGTGACCAACCATAATGCTAGAAAAGTCACAATGCCAGGTAAGAAACTATACAAGAAAAATTCTTAAATGTCTCACCTCAGAAGCAGTAGCAGCGACGTTAACACTGCTTGCCTGCCCGTTCGTTAGGTCCATGCTTCCCACAACATCGGTCCCCAACGCTATGTTAACACAGAAGACTAGTTCACGTCCAAGGCCACAGATACATCGTTATTCCTGTAAAACATACACAAAAGTTTAAACGTGTGTTTATTACTCCAAGTTTAAGAAAACAATTCCATGCCTGTCACCATGTCGAGAAATAAATGTTTTCAACTTTACTGAACTCTTTTTTCTTTCGGTTAAATCACTAAATGCGAAGTTTAAACGTGTGTTTATTACTGCAAGTTTAAGAAAACAATTCCATGCCTGTCACCGTGTCGAGAAATAAATGTTTTCAACTTAATGAACTCTTTTTTCTTTCGGTTAAATCACTAAATGCAGTTTGAGGACAATCCTGTGTGCTATTTTCACATGACCGGAAATACCATATAGACTGTGTTCAATACGCGTTACCATTACATTCCTCATCAGCAAAGCAGAAGCATAATTTTTCACTTACTGTGAGAAAAATTCAAGAACTTTTTTAGTTTTAAGTAAAAAAAAGTGTAAAAAAATGTGGCAAAGTAACACATAGCGTAACAATAAATTTTTAGAGATCTAAATGACATCTCTAAATCGACAATACTAATTTTACCATTGCTGATAATCTAGTTTACAAAGATATAACAAATGATACCACGATATATATTTATTTGTATAGTTTTAAAGTTTATTGAACATCTTCAACCCATTATCTCACTGACCTTCACAACTACCAATAAGACTAATTAAGGAAGACATTATACTCACACAACACGAAGAAACAGCCTCTAAGCACAGAGCCTGGTAAATGAGGAGCCAAGAATAAAATTCGAGCTCTCCCAAATTCTAGTCAAATATTCTTTTCACACCATATTTCTTTCCACTTTACTGGAAGTCAGAATATTTACCTGAAGTTCTAATCCTTTTCCACAAATAGCTTTACCTATCTAGGACAGAATTCCCTCCTCTCTGTAAAATGACAGGAGTAAATGGACTTTAAGACTCCTTTCCAAATTTAAATTTCCAAAGTGTTTTTCATAAGAAAAATAAGTGTCTATAAATTAGGTATTTAAAACCATACCCACTTTAAAAACTGAGTTTGAAATATCAATAATAATTCTCTCGATGCTAAGTCTCCTCTCTCTGGAGGAGCAGTGTAGGACAGTGATTTAGAAGCACAGACTAGAACAAGACTGTCTAAGTTTAAAGCCAGCACACTGCTAAACTTTTCTGTGCTGTTTCCTAATCTATAAAAAAGAGATAACAGGTACCTACTTCAGAGTTATGGCAAGGAGAAAAGAATATGTGCAAAGCACCTAAAGCGATGCTGACACTCGGTAAGTGCGCTGCTGTGATTATGCGGATTTTATCTACTTAATCCATGCAAAGCTTAAAAATCAAACGAGTCTTCTAATCAAAGACAAAAGCCTAAGATATACAACTCTGGCAAAATACATGCGGTGGGCATCACCGAAATCCTAACTGCAAACACAAGAAATGAGGATGCCTCAAATCTGTGTCCTAGATGTGGCAAAACATGTTTCTGGTTTTGGTTTTCAAATGCTTAATAACTATTACTAATGATAGCAGCCTTCGGTCACATCTTACATTTATCCTCATATCTTCAGATATATCCTAAGTACCTGCTAAGAGCAAAACACTGTGCTAGAATTTTAATGAAAAGTATATTAGAAATAATGTGAAAATGAATAAAACACAAAAATACTTTAACTTCCTCTAATCCACAATATTTCATTTTATAAGCTTCACTATCCTTATGATGTCACTAAGATCAACATATATTTACACTGCTACACAAAGCGAGCCTGATAATCCAAATTCTCTGAAGGCAACACTCAGTTTGCAACAAAATGTTTTCAAATAATTTCATCTCATTCCACATTCTACGCATAGATTGATTTAGATATGAATTCATAAATCAAGAGTGCCCCCTAGTGTTAGAAAAAGATTTTAATTAAATTGTTAAAGGAACTGTATCTTTAATCTACTTTATATATCAAATATATAAATTTTATTACCATTATTTACTGACAAAGAGATAATACAGACCAGGAATAAACATTAATACATTTGTAAACTAAAACAGTAAATAATCAAGTTTTCTTTGCCTGCTTTTAATTAAAACGTCACTCAAATATTCCATGAGAATTAAGGTCGTATTAAAATTATGTTTTTAGTAAAAAAAAAAGGTACATTAAAGCATACCTTTAAAAAAACTCTATTCATAACTGTTTACAAATGTACTACATGTCAATAGTACTTAATATTGTTTAAGGAGAACAAAGCCAAAAACACTGCAAGTCTTAAGACAGTTAATTTTTTTAGTGTGCGCCTCAAGACCTTCCTGTGCTTTGCATATAGAAAAGTTCAGATTGAACAATACAAATACATGCTTTAATATTATTTACTTTACCTAGCATGATGACTGGTGCAATCACTCATGATCCAATATATCACAACAGCTTTTCTTAATTAACTTCATTATTTCCTTATTCTCTTCTGAAATTTCTAAAGACAGTTAATCTGACTCTTTGGGGTCTAAATCCCAAAACAGGCAAATTGCTTCTTTCCAAGCAATATAATTCCCAAATAGAAAATCTGAAATGTGTAGATTTAGTTCCTTGCTTGAGGTTACGAAACTCGATGAAATTACAGGCATATTCAGCTTCCTAACGCATCTTCTCAGTGTATTCCCACCAAGAAACTGATACTTTTTAAGTAAATGAACAAGGGATTAAAGTGACAATTTCTCACTACTCTAATCTCATTCAGAGTAACAGTTATGTAATCTTTTGTAAACTCATTTATGCTATCATCATTAGGAATACTATGCTAAAGACATTTCATAGTTTTGCAAAACATACTCTAGGAGTTAAGCAACAATAAGGAACACGGTAGTGAATTGCAATTAATGAGTGCAATTTCTCTGTAAGACTTCAGACAATACAGAATTGATGTGCTCACATACATTTTGGCTTAAAAATCTCAGTACTGGAAATTCATCTCATCAAAACTCTGTAGAAAAAGCAAAAACTATATAGATAAAGCTATTCAATAAAGCACTATTTACAACAGTGAAAACCAGAAGCAACTTGAATGCCTTTGTCCATAACCACATTAAAAAATTCAAATGGACAATTATAAAGAAACGTGAAAACAGAGCGACAGGTTCAACAGAAACTAAAACTTCTTGTTAAAATATTCTTATATTTCATGAGAAAAAAAAGTAACAGGGCATTGTAATTGCAATCCAATATTTAAAAGTAATTACAGAACTTGTTTCTCTTTAAAATTTCTTTTGAAATAAACATTAAAGCCACATTTTACGACACTCATGGAAGGCTCAAAGATTTAAATGCCTGTATATCACAGCATTAAGGCAAGCTCACTTCAGCACATGCGACAGCTAAATTTGCACTGCCTTGTTAATATTGTTAACATAAGAAAATTGGATATTAGTCCCAAATTCCCCAGGACTTTGTTTCAATAACAACAGCCATCAAAATGCTGATGAGTAACAAAGGAAAGATTTCCTTTTCAATATAATTTATATTGAGCTATTCTGACAAAAGCTTAATACAAAAGAAGGTTGTCTCTCAAAATCATTTCTGGTATGGTACTCAGCAAGACTATCCTGGCTATTTGCCACCTGTAAAATGTTCAAGTTATTACAAAAGAAAAAGAAAAAGGTTGTAAGAATTTCCTAATGCCTTTAGTCAAAATTCCATTGTTATATTTTTGCACTGATTTATTTGTGTATCTCTCCTTAATAAACTTTGAGTTCCTTGATGTTAAAGACCCATATTTAAAACAAGATGCAACAGCACTGTTTTTCATTTTTGCATTTAGGCACATATACAATACTTGACCTCAAATTACCTATTTAATAAGTATCTGTTGAAAGAATTAGTGAATTACTGAACAAAGCAGTCATATAAATGCCCAATTACCAATAAAGGTATAGGGAGAACAGCAGTCAAGTAATCAGTAAACACAATACTACACACATTTAAAAGAATATGATGAGGATTCCAATTTCTAGCAACATGGATGACAAAACAATATAAAACATTTTTGCACTACAAAAGAAATTTAGAAATGTAAGCTTGAATGTTGATACCAGTTGGATAGAAAAGAAAAGGCAACCAAGAGATGACAATGGAATTGAAACCCATACACTCTCCTCTCCACCTTTACTGAGAATAAAGCCAGAGAAATTGATAGTCTACCCTCATCAGGGATGAGTCTATTTTAAAATGTATACTGGTACAGGAGGACAAGGAAACTTGTCTGTCTTGGCATGGAGGAGGGGAGGGCATCTGCAAATCTGTCTACAAAATGAAAATCTGTAATCCCAGGCATGCTCAGCACAGATACGGAATTTGAATTCGTTCATCAGCATGGTCCAGGACCCTCAAGACAAGAAATTCACATTAAATATGTTCCCAAGCCAGTGGTATTCCAGGAACCCTAGGCAGATGGAGGGAACAAAAATTGGGGGGAGGAACATTCCTTAACTCAGGTGATGTGGGATTCCCACAGATAAAAACCCACTGCAAGCTCAGAATAAAAATTTACCAACTCTACGAGCAAAAAATCCACTACAAGTAAAAGCAGGAACTACAGCAACGATTAAGATTACCACCTGAGAACTTTAGGTGAACAATCCTCGGATACAGGCAATCAACCGAAAAGATTAAAACCAGCAGCCTTCAAAGAAGAAACTGAAAACACAGGGTATTACGAAAAAGCAAGACAAACATTTGTAAGAGAACCAAATAAAATTTTTTTAAAAGAAAAGAAATATATGGTCCCTGGAGAATTAAGCATCAGATTGAACACAAATGAAGAGAGAATTTGTGAAGTAGAACAAAAAAATGAAATTATGCAGAATCCTACAGCATTAATGAAATAAAAAATGTGAAGAGTGACTGAGAAATGAAAAATAGAATAATAAGACCTAACACAGCCTAAGAGCAGTTCTAGAGGAAGAGAGATAATGAGAGGCACTATTTAAAGAGAAAAAGGCTGAGAAATTTCCAGAACACAAGAAAGACATATCTTCACATTCA